CCAGGGAACGGCACCCTCACGCACCTGCCTGCTGCCGCAGGCGTACCTGGCCCCCGACGGCAGCTCCGTGGAGTACGGCTCCATCCTGGTGGAGATCAACAAGAGGGTCAAGCAGGACCTGGTGCTGTCCGCCGACCAGGCCAGTTTGTACGCCATGACCCAGGACAAGGTAGGCCTGCGGAGGCCCCGGGGAGGGCCTGGCGGCCGGAGCGCTGTCCCAGGCCTGGAGGAGGGTGCAGGCGAGGACCGGGAGGGGCCGCCCTCTCCTCCTCGGGCTCCTGGCAGAGTCTCTGTCCCCGTCTCCAGCGCCTTCCCTGTCTGCAGCTCTGCTCCCCCATGTCCTGTCTCTGGTCCTGTCACGGACCCTTCCTGAAGGGAGGGCTGGGACTGCTCTGAGGGGCTTCCCTGGGGTGGACGGGCATGAAGGGCCCTCCCTGTGCAGCTCCGTGAGCTTGGGCAGCAAGGGGACAGCACAGGCCCTGCCTTATCAGGGGGCTGGCGTAGGAGCCCCTCGAGCCGGCCTCTGGAGCCCTGGGGCATCCAAGGGCCTCTCCCAGGGGGTGGGGTCAAGGGGCCTGGGCCAGCACCGGGGAGGCAGGACCCTGGACCCATGGTTTCCTGGGACCATGCACCGTGGGTCCTGGGTGGGTGCAGCCACAGGGCCAGGCCTCACGGAGCCCGTGTACCTCTCCCCTGCCTGGAGCCCATGTTGGCCGGCCTTGAGTTGGCATCTGAGACTAGGGCCTCTGCCAGGGGGTGGGCCGGGGCCTGGGCCGGCACCGGGGAGGCAGGGCCCTGGACCCCTGGTTTCCTGGGACCATGCGCCGTGGGTCCTGGGCGGATGCAGCCACAGGGCCAGGCCTCACAGAGCCCGTGTACCTCTCCGCTGCCTGGAGCCCATGTTGGCTGGCCTTGAATTGGCATCTGAGACTTTTTTTTTTAAATATATATTTTTATTGATTTTTTACAGAGAGGAAGGGAGAGGGATAGGGAGTTAGAAACATCGATGAGAGAGAAACATCGATCAGCTGCCTCCTGCACACTCCCTACTGGGGATGTGCCCGCAACCAAGGTACATGCCCTTGACCGGAACCGAACCTGGGACCCTTCAGTCCGCAGGCCGACGCTCTATCCACTGAGCCAAACTGTCCAGGGCTAAATGTATTTTTATTGATTTCAGAGAGGAAGGGAGAGGGAGAGAGAGAGAGAAATATCAATGATGAGAATCACTGATCGGCTGCCTCCTGCATGCCCTCCACTGGGGATGGAGCTAGCAACCCGGGCCTGTGCCCTGACCGGGAATCAAACCGTGACCTCCTGGTTCATAGGTCAATGGTTCACAGGCCAGCCAGGTGGCATCTGAGTCTTTTTAAGGCTCAGAGATACAGGAGGGACCCAGCTAGTGGCCCCAGGAAACTCGGGTCCGCAGGGGTCCTGGTGGCCGCATCCTGCTCACCGCCCCGCTGCCCCCAGGCGTTCCGGCTTCCTGTGCAGGAGTGCTCGAGCTACCTCAACTGCAAACAGTGCCTCGGCTCCCGGGACCCCTACTGTGGCTGGTGCATCGTCAAGGGGCGGTGAGTCCCTGGGGCCGGGGGTCTCGGCTCACCCTGGAGCCCGGGGGCGGCAGTCCCACCCGGGGGCTGACAAGTGCCAGGGCTGAGGCTGCCCCGTCTCTGCAGATGCAGCAGGAAGGCCGAGTGCCCACGGGCCGAGGAGAGCGGGCACTGGCTGTGGAGCCGCGAGGAGTCCTGTGTGACCATCACGGGGGCCCAGCCCCAGAACATGAGCCGGCGGGCCCAGGGGGAGGTGCGTGGCCGGCGGGGGGACCAGGGCAGGAGATTTCACAGCATCTCGATCCCGCCTGGGCCTTGGGGCTGAGTCTGAGGGGGGCAGCCCCGGCCCCTGTGGTCTGGTGGCTCCTGTGTCCCAGGCGGTGGGGGTGGCGAGTCAGGTTCCTGTGTCTTCTGTGCACGTGCAGGGGAATGAATCACGGGACAGGTGCTCTGGGTGGGGGTCTCCTCACTGAGAGTCCAGTCCTGGGCCCCCGCACCCA